GCTAACGGGGAGGGGGGAGGGTATATTTTTGACATGTCAATACTACGATAAATTGTCAACCGTACCAATGGGACAGAACAGATGTGACTTTCAAGGCAAGAGTTTTTTTATAAATGCCTTCTTCCCCAACTTTTATATCAGTTGGACAATATTCTTAGCAAGAAGGCATACAGGAAAAATTATCAAGGGAAAAGGTCTAAGCTTGTCTAATACTTAAAAAATGTTCCTCATCGAATATTTCCTTCCTTTTTTGGTCGTGAGTATATATGGAATACGAGATAGTAGACTGATCTCCTTAACTCATTATCAACTTAAGGCTTTTTTAAGAATGGGATTGAGTTCAGGCGATGTCCGCCATATGACGGACGAAAGTTACACCTGTTTGCAAAGGAGTTACTGCGCCATGGACTGCGTTAGCCTCAGTCATAGTAAAATCAAAAGGCAACAGAACAATGGGTATGAGCTATCGCTTTCTTGTGATATTGAAGTAGGAATTTCACCATCAGACACGAAAGCCATCGCCACAATATGAATAGGGGTTTGACAAAGCAACACTGACTATTCAGTGTCCGAACAAAAGTGACAAAGCGGAAGAAATTGATATTTTAAGAATAAAGATTGTCTACGAAATCGTTTAAATTTTAGTCCTAGTTACCGTCATAGTACACCAAGGCGCCAACCAGTTTGTCTTTCTTCAACAAAGGAAACTTTTCCAAAGCCTGCGACTTGCTCACAAAATAGCTTGATTTTAAAATCTGACCGCCCGAGACCAGATCATACATCTTGATGCCTGCCCAGTAGTAGGGGAGCTGCCACCATCTGAGAAGAAAAAAGGGAAAAATAATATAAAAAATCACTTCTGTGACAGGTCAGTAGGTCGTGCGGAATTAAATAAGCCTCTACCGAAATATAACATATCATCGTTGATGCCATCACACAACTTAAAAAGTAGATAATTAATTCCCAGCTGAGAGAACTTATCTGACTAAAGATGCAAATTTATCATTTTTAATAAATCAAGCATAGCAAATTTTTCGAAATAGTCCGCTCGCAAAAAGACTTGAGCATGAAGGAGCCTTTATCTACTAAATACGTCTAGGCATACTGAAATGAGAAATAAAAAATCAGCGAACGGTCGATGAGGCTAGATAAATGTTTAGATATAGTGTAATGATCGTACGAAAATATATTACTTGCTTGCCAAAATACACTAGTAAAAAAAATATATTCTAAGAAATAAAGTGCCCAAAAATAGTCAGCCTTATCAAAAATATGGATTAATTGAACCAAAAATACACATGAGGAGAAAACGAATTCAAATGAGATCGAATTCGAAGAAGGTTAAAAATTGACAAATAAACGACTAGGTCTGATGATTTGGTGATGAACTAATAAGATCTATCAGATTGAAGATAACAAGAAAAATAAAAATTAGGCTCTGCAAGTGGCCATACCATAAAACCAATAGATCACCAAGATTCGTCAATATTTCATCACTACCATTCCATTTACTTAGTGCAAAAGCTAAAATGAAGAAATATTCATCCTAAAAAATACATGGAAATGTTAGGCCCTAGCCCTAAGAAGCGAGCGAAAATAATTCTAGTGATGTAGGGATCAGTAATTGGCTTTTTCGTAATAAATATATTACTTTAAATTTTTAGTTGCGTAGAGCTTTAAAATGACAACAAAATGTAGATAGGTTTAGGTACCTATTTAATCTATTTACTGAATATTTTAAATAATTGCCAGCTAAGAGGACTCTTAATGGTGCTTCAAGTTAAGGA